TACCAAGTATTTAAACATAGTGATTCAATGTAAACCCAAAGCTTGAGCTTTTTTTACCTTCCTGTGTTACAAGAACTTATGAACAATTTGTTTTGTCTATTTGTCTTTATAATTTATATTGTTATTGTTACAATACATTATTATTATTACAAAACAGTACAACACTGATAATAATAATAACAATGTTTCTTGAGAAGCAAATCAGCATATTAGAATGATTTCTGAGGGATCATGTGACACTGAAGACTGGAGTAATGGCTGCTGAAATTGTTTATGTATAGTAGTTAACTGATAAATAAATCTATTTATGACATTATTTTTGAAAGCATCCTCACTTTACAGCATTTTTACACGAGTACCTACAACTACAACCTTCACAGTATTGTAGCTTAGCAGGAAGGTTTCTTGAAGTGTCTTGGAGACATTGCCACAGTTCTTTTTGATTTAGTCTGTCTCAGTTTTTTGTGATTCTCCATGTCATTCCAGACGGACTGAATGATGGTGAGATCAGATGTGGAGCACTGGCTGTTTTCAGACTAAAATCAGTGAGATACCAAAATCTCATTGAATTATTACAATTAATGACAAAAGGAATGTTTGGAGTTCACATTGGCCACAATTATTGGCACCCAATTATTGCACAACATCCTTTTCCCAAGATAACAGCTCTGAGTTTTCTTCTATAATGCCTGATGAGTTTGGAGAACACCTGACAAGAGATCAGAGAACATTCCTTCATACAGAATCACTCCAGATCCTTCAGATTCCCAGCTCCATGTTGGTTCTTCTTCTCTTCAGTTCAGCCCACTCATTTTCTATAGGGTTCAGGTCATGGAACTGGGACGGCCATGGCAGAAGCTTCATTTTGTGCTCAGTGACCCATTTTTGTGTTGATTTTGATGTTTGTTTTGGATCATTGTCCTGATGGAAGATCCAACCACGGCCCATTATAAGATTTCTAACAGAGGCAGTCAGGTTTGGATTTGTTTATCTGTTGCTATTTGATAGAATCCATGATTCCATGAACAAGATGTCCAGAAAAATAGGCCAACAACATACTCTATGTTCTTTGGTTTTACTTGGATGATTAAGGTATAATTTGGCCTTTGTGTTCCTCATATTTATAATACTGTGGAACAAGAAGTCATGGCTGGACAATTTCATGCTCCAAGTCACACTGGTGTGCCAAATTTTTTTAAATATGAATAGGAATATACTTATATAGATAAAGATATTTTACTCATAAAAATTTCTAAGGGTGCCAATAATTGTGGCCAACATGCATTGGAGAAAAAAAAAATTATTTCATAATGTCAGTTTCCCCCCACTTTCATTGTTTTACTTCAATGAAATGTTAGAATTTTGTGAATTTTTTAGTGAAAAATCAAAATGATAAATGATGCAGATTTATTTTCACAGCCACCTTTGCTCATATTTACCAAGGGTGCCAATACACACACGTGCGCGCACACACACACACACACACACACATATATATACACACACAAACTGTATTTTAAGCAGTGCTATCAATGTTATATTGTAATATTTCTGTATTTTTTTCAGGATTCATTGATTAATAGGAAGTCCAAATAACATAACATTTCTATTATGACAACTCTCGGAAGATTTTTGCATGATAATGGATATGGCAGTGTTAATGTATTTGGTCTTGGGGGGACATATCTGCTACACTGCTGCTGCTGAATTGCTGCTGCTGTTGGTTATTGCTGTTTTTGTAGATTATTGCTGCCTCTGCTGCAAAGCAAGCACAGGAACGTGCTACTGACAATACATACGCAGATACGGTGCTGTGAGTATTTAAGACATACTGCTGCTGCACAAATAGCATATATATTAACCCGTAGCAGATCTATACAGGTGGAGCTGGGAAAGATGGAGGTTTCAAAAGAACTCTGAAAGCATGCTGCGAAATGCTATAATGAATGCTAACAGCCATTTAAATTTAAAGAAGCAAGCTCATTGACTGCGTATGCACCAAGCAGCTTGTGCCAAGTAGTTTAATGCAGTGATTATCATCAGCTTGCATTAAGGACCCATCAGCCTGCGCCATCTAGAGTTTCATGACAAAACTTGGTTTACATATGAAATGCTTTGTAACATTGTAAATGGTTTTACTGTCACTTTTCATCAATTTATAGCATTACTCATAAAAATTCATGAACGTTTGTAAGTATGATACATAACGTTTGAGCCGATTCGGAACGCTCCTAAGATGCCAACAGATGTTTTCTAGGAGCTCGCAGAGTTTTGACGTGCTGACTGACTGTTGTAGGCGACAGCGGAACTCGTCTGTGAAGTAAGTTGTAAGTGTTGTAAAACCGCGTTAAAACTGTTTGCAGACGTTATGTGCTTAATGGGTGGTCGGATTTGCCAAGAGAAAGCCTGAGAGAAATGGGTTTGATCGCTGAGGGGGAAAATAAAATTTGTTTCGGAGAAGTGTTAGTGTAAGTCTGTGGTGTAATATGTTTCTTTAAAACATATGCAGCAGATATTAAGGAGTGAAAGATGCATACATCCTGCCAAGAAAGATTGCCATGGTAAATTGGTATTAGTCACTTGTCGTCAGCAATTGATTATGCTTCTAGACTTAAGGCATGCTTTTTTCTTTTAAAGAAGACACAAATCCCGAGAGAGAACAAACATGTTTCATCTAACATAAAATTAGCAACAAAATAAGCTCCTGGTTTTAACACGATATGTATTTAATGTCTTGATACTTGTTAGTGTGTGGGCTAACCTTCAGCCCTCGTTACCCATTCTGGACTTTTTTTAAATGTGTTTTGTTGTAGGCTATTTATTTTGGTATTTGTTCGTGTTTATTGCTATAAAATTGATAAATTACAAAAATTTAACAGTAATTTAACAATAAACCGTATTTATTCTTGACTCCTTATAACCTTTTGAGGCTGACAGTCAACATTTAAAAAAAAAATAATAATGTATCTTTCTTTCTTTCTTTCTTTCTTTCTTTCTGTCTCTCTCTCTCTAGTCCCTATTTCATGTTCACTTTTTGTGGGAGCCTTTAGCAGGATTACATTAGTAACAACAACAGTAACTGGCAACTATGGTTACCATAGTGATTATTTTTATGGGAAAGGGAAATCCTGAGAGGGATGTTCTTGAGCATTAAGGAGGAAAACAATATTTATTTTGGAAATTGTGTCCGAATTTTTCAGAAGATACAGTAAAAACAGGGCAAAAATGTACTCAAAAAGTTGTACATTTGTTCATTAAATGTACAATCAAACATGTAATATTTGGCACTTATTGCCATTTTCAACTGATTATTGTATCTTGATTTGTATCTTTGTGTCAATTTCTTTTAAATCTAAACAGCCTGTATGAATTCAGTGTTTATAAACAAAAGACGGTTGAATATGAATTGTCCTTTAAGGCTGGAAATAATGCTTCATGTACTTTGATGTTTAAAAAATTATCCAAGGGAAAGCATGTGAGGAAATGCAGTTGGAAGTTTTCTGATGTCCGGCAGACAGAAATGGCAATAACAGCAGTTAAGTTTTTCCACAGGTCATTCCTAAGGGACAGCTGTACCACACACATCCCTTTCTAACGTTTCACTGAGTGCCAGGCTGTCTGATTGTTACTCGGGGAAGGACACACCTTGTTTCTGACTCATTGTGTGTTTAGTGTTATGCATCTACCCTGCGAGAATGTGGTTCCCATGATTTTACATTGCCATGGTGTGTCTGTATGCTTTTACTGTGTGTTTTATCTATCTATCTATCTATCTATCTATCTATCTATCTATCTATCTATCTATCTATCTATCTGTCTGTCTGTCTGTCTGTCGGTGTGTCAATTATTCGATCATTGTGTTGTTCTTATCTGTTTGTCTTTTGACCGTTTGATCATTATATCTATTGTTCGATCACTCTTATCTTTCTCACTCTATATGTCCTACTATCGATCGTTCTATCTATCCTTCTATCTACCATCTATCTAATCTATCGTTCTATCATTCTACCAGTATTTTTCTATCTATACCAGATCTATCTATCTATCTATCTATCTATCTATCTATCTATCTATCTATCTATCTATCTATCTATCTATCTATCTATCTATCTATCAGTCATTCTGCTCTTCTGTCTGTCGCTTCATCTGTTTGTCTCTCGGTCGTTATATCTATTTTTCAGTTGTTCTGTCTATTTTTCTATCGTCTGACTTCTATCTATCTATCTATCTATCTATCTATCTATCTATCTATCTATCTATCTATCTATCTATCTATCTATCTATCTATCTATCTATCTGTCTGTCTGTCTGTCTGTCTGTCTGTCTGTCAGTCTGTCGATTGTTCTATCGTTATATGTTCTGTATGGCTGTCTGTCTGTATATATCTGTCTTGTCTACCGATCTATCAATCGTTCTGTCTGTTTATCTATCATTCTATCATTATATCTATCGTTTATATTTATATGACCAAGTCAAGTAGTAAATGGAGGTCGTTCTGGAATCTTTTGCTTTGTTCCTGCTACACAGGAATACATGTTTTCACAACTCTCTCTCTCTCTCCCTATCTCCATTTCTTCACTGTATTTCTTGCTTCCTCTCTTGCTGTCTCACTTTCTCTTTTCTCTCTTGTATTAGGGCACATTTTTGTGGCAGGGACATTTGAAAGACTTCAAAGGCAATGCTCTGTATGAGCTGTTGAGTGTGTGAAGCCTGTCGGATTGTTTGTCATGCATATCTCTGAGTTTAGTTGGTCGCTTTCCATTGTCTTAAAGTGTGACGAGGCACGTGTTCATGTGTGTACCTGCGTATCCATGTGCAGAAATGAGTGCGGCAATGATTCTTCTGTACCCTGCAGGCAATAAATCTGCCTGCCACTCCCTGTGCAAGGGCAGCAGAGCAGGGTTTCTTCACTCTTTCCCTCTCTCTCTCACTCTTTTTCCTCTCCCCCTCGGGGAGGAGCTCTGACCTGTGATTCTCAAGTCCACACAGGTGAGGGTGCTGCTAAAGGAATGTGCAGAGAGCAAGTGAGCAAAGGACAGAAAGAAAGGTGGAGTAACCTTGTTGCCTCACAAAGCCAGCGAAAGAAAGGAAGGGTGTTGCCTGCGACCCACCTGAACAGCTTGAGCAAAAGAGGAGGGACCAGACACACATTCACTCTTAAACACAAGTCGTATCTGGGGGGAATATTCAGTCGATTGTGCACAGCACCAAGTGGGGTAGGAAGGGAACTTTTTCCTGCAAGCACAAGATGTTTCCCTGTTGTTTGGATTTGTGAAGACACAGGTGGAAAACTTATTTTCCCTCTTCGGTTAATCATTGGACACAAGGGAGAGAATAAAGGATTTTCTTTTAGAGAACTTTGGTTGGTGGTTGGACTCTGGGACTTGGATTGGGAAACAACAAACTAAGAGGTTTGTGAGATCAATGATCTTTTTGTAAAGCCTCACAGTCATGCATGTATTTTGTAAGGCTCTTTTTATCTCTCTGCTCTCTGCTTTTTATCTCTCTGCTTTTATCTCTCTGCTTCCCCTTTCCTCTTTATGTGCTTGTCTCTTTTTGTTTGCCTCAGCTGATGTTTGTGGCTGGCGAAATTAATAGAATTTTTTGAATCAGTTTGTTTTAGGTCTTTAAATATTGCCCACTACTGTTCAGCTGTTTCTGTTTTTCATCTTCTAAAATATGTCCACTAAATCTTTATGAAGATATGAGAGATAAAATAAGGTGTTTGGCTGTTGATTGTTTTTCAGTGTCTGAAGCTGCACCATTCATTTTCAGTGTTGTTATGCATTTGTGACCATTCACATTTGTGTCTGGATCATTCTGTATATATTTTGACTATTAGGTTTAATTATGGTATTTTAATGTCATTATTATTCTCAGATTGATTTACATTTAGTTGAATTTGTATTTAGCTTTACTGAGACAGAGAAAATTAGCTCTAAATAAGTTGTTCCTCAAAGTTTCACTGATGCAAAAAGGAATGACCACATTTGCCACAAGAAAATACACAAATTGTGTAATCATTTTGTATTGGTACTTTGTTGTTTTTCTCTCTGTATGACTAAACATGCCCATTTGTGAGGTTACCACAGGCCCGATCAGGTTCACAATAGCATGCTAAGGTCTGTTTAGGTCTCAGGAGCAGTCATATTTATATGGGATTGAGTTTTCTCTCATCCTGGAGTGAAATTCCAGCGATGTTGGTCAAAATATGAACTTGAGCAGTTATATATTAATGTAAAGTTGAAGGATGTGTGAGCATTAGGTTTAGAACAACCTGTTTTTTTCTTGGAGTGTATTGTTTTGTGTATTTTGGGAGTTTTTGATGGATAAAATTAGCAAGGCTTTCAATTTAACATGATAATTTAGTACACTTATTTAAAAAATTTCAAAAAACTTGTATGTAAATTCCGTAGTTAGTGATTTTTGTCCCATTGGATATATTCAAGCATACATATTCAAAAGTACAAGTATCTGATGTACAAACTTGATGGTTTTTCCAAGTCTGCAGTCAGTTCAGCACCAGCTGCTACTATAAGTTATAAGTTTCACCGAACCACATTTAGCGAGAGCAGACAGCATGCAATGTGTATGGATGTGTTCAGGGAATATGTTTTGTGTCCTAGATGGAGCTCAGCAGAATAGAACAAAATGCAGGGCTTCAAAATACAACAAAAAAATGCAGTATGTGTGTTGACGCATATAAGAATGTGTCCTGATTCTAATCCGCAAATATGGGATTAAATTCATCAATTAATATAATGTAATTAATTACAACAAATGAATCAATTGAAAGTTAGATTAAATTATGCACAATAAAATAAAAAATTCTATTAGAAAAAAAAAATAAGACAAAAGTGTAATACACAAAAATATATATAAAAAAATGTTGTTCTCAAACTTTCCACTTTCTTTCTCTTCACCGGAGTCCATGTGCATCTGTAGAGGATATGAGAGGAATTCCTGAGGAATCATTGGTCTGTTTCTCCTCTTCGCTGTCAGAGTTCAGATTTATGGGGGGTGAAATGGGCTCAACTTTCATTTGATGTTTTCAGGGAGAAAGGGAGCGAGTGAAAAGCGAGAGAAAGGTGGATCAGATTTCTCCTTCTGTTTTTTTATTTAAGCGCCGATATAACAGCTGAGGTGCATGCTATTCTACTGTAGATTAGATAAGGACAGTGGTCTCTAAAAGTGTAATGGACAATGAACATACAAATGTATGCTGTACATTTCAAGTAAATGTCCACTGCAGTGTGTCTGGTCATTATGAGGTTTTTGCTGAATGTTTTATGGTGTTTACCAAGGCATGTCTTGCATGCCTTGAATTACTCCGTTCAGTTATGATCAGCTATGGTGTGTATCTCCATATGTGTGCATGTGATTCTGTGTGACATCTGTTCACCATGTTTAACTTTATGTAAAATGTGTGATCTCACTATTTTTTTATTTATTTTTCAGACTGAAATGGGAGGATGGGCGCTGCGTCTCGCTGTGTGGATCTCCGTTCTCATGCTCGCTGTGACAGCCAGCCGTGCTAATGAGGGTGGGAACATCAACTCTTAAGCCCCTTAAACCTCAAATCTCAATTACAAACACTTTTACTTAGGAAGCAATGCTAAGTCAGTTAAAAACACCAGATTACTTTCTGCTGACTGTAATTATTAATGATAACCAATATAAATGATAACATTTGGGTTGATGTTTTGTTATCTAATACAGTGAAGTACATTTTTAACTGTCCAGATACTTTGTATACTATAATATGTATATATTTATGTACAAAATATATAAATGTCATTGCACTGAATAATGAAACATCAGCCCAAGTGTCATTTATTTTAAATAATGACAGCACTGTTCACCTTCCAAGCAAAAGAAACAGTTTATTAGGATATTTAAATGATAAAACAGTAGATAAAATAACAACAGAAAAATTGGTTTCCCAAATATGTAATGCTAAGAAGACCTTAATTACTGAGTTCAAAACATTTAAAGCCAAATTCAGGGAAGACATAATTATCTTTGATATTTGCTAAATATGCCTTTTTGTGTGTTACATAGTGAACCACTGTACTGCTGCAAGGGCAAAAACCTGCTCAGAATGTATCCAGATCGCCACAGGATGTGCTTACTGCCCCGATGAGGTGAAACTCGCTGGTCCTCATGCTGAAGAATGAATTGATGTTGTATATGTGTTTGACGTGTTTTCATAATTAGTCTATATGACGTATTGATCCAGAGGGTCTGTAGAAAGTATTAATTCATTTACAAATCTAAAGCGAAATGTTAAATGTCCAACATTCATTTAAGCAACAATTTCATTATTCAGTTTCAAGTATGACACACTACAGTCTTATTAAACAGTGATTTGAGCAGTTCTTTTCAAATGAACTTTAATGATATACACTATCATTCCAAAAGTATGGGGTCAGTACTATTTTATACGTTTTTGAAAGCAGTCGCTTTTGTTCACCAAGACTGCATTTATTTGATCAGAAATACAGTCAAAACAGTAATATTGTGAACTATTATTATAGTTTAAAATTGTAAAACCATTATTCCCAGTCTTCAGTGTCACATTAACCTACAGAAGTAATTCGAATGTACTGATTTGTTGCTCACGAAACATTTATTATTATTATTTTGTGTAAACCATGATCATTTTTTTTCAGGATTCTTGGATGGATAAAGTTCAAAGGAACAGCATTTATTTGAAATATAATTTTTACATTATACATGTCTTTACTGTCACTCTTGAGCAATTTAATGTGTCACAGCTAAATAAAAGTATTAATTAGAAAAACAAATTTTTGCTGAACTTTCAACCAGTACTGTATTTTATTTTACTGCCCCCACCTTAAATGTCACCTATGGTTTCTGGTTATTTGTATGTTCATATAACCTATTGTAGCTGCATGACCACAGTTGTGTCATTTCTTTCATTTGTATATGTTTTTTTCTCTTCAGATCTTCGAGCATGAGCGTTGTGACCTGAAGGAAAACTTGGAGGCCCGTAAATGTAGTAGTCGGATGGTAACAATTAAGAGCAGCTGGAAAATTGTAGAGGTTTGTTTTTATCATAATCCTGTCCCTCCTTTTAGTTACATTTCCATATCATGGATTCATGTGTGTTTATGCATTAATGTGTCTTTGTGTGTTTTTCAGAATGTGCAAATGAATAAGTCACTAAAGTACTCTCAGGTGGCCCCTCAGCTAATGAGCATGACGCTTCTCCCCGGGGAGGAGAGGGAGGTGGAGATGGAGGTGTTTGAACCAGCCCGTGGCCCTCTGGACCTCTACATCCTCATGGACTTCTCCAACTCTATGTCTGATGATCTGGACAACCTGAAGAGGATGGGAGACCAGCTGGGTGAGCGAGGAGGGCGGTGTATCATAGTGGTTAGATGTGGGCTGGTAACAGTTGTAATTTGGGTTGGGCGATATATTTGTGATGGTTTGCTACTTAAAATTAAACACCACTGTGAATTTCGCAGTGAACTACAGTAGTAAACATGGTGTTAGAGTTGGTCTATCTATCTATCTATCTATCTATCTATCTATCTATCTATCTATCTATCTATCTATCTATCTATCTATCTGTCTGTCTGTCTGTCTGTCTGTCTGTCTGTCTGTCTGTCTGTCTGTCAGTCTGTCGATTGTTCTATCGTTATATGTTCTGTATGGCTGTCTGTCTGTATATATCTGTCTTGTCTACCGATCTATCAATCGTTCTGTCTGTTTATCTATCATTCTATCATTATATCTATCGTTTATATTTATATGACCAAGTCAAGTAGTAAATGGAGGTCGTTCTGGAATCTTTTGCTTTGTTCCTGCTACACAGGAATACATGTTTTCACAACTCTCTCTCTCTCTCCCTATCTCCATTTCTTCACTGTATTTCTTGCTTCCTCTCTTGCTGTCTCACTTTCTCTTTTCTCTCTTGTATTAGGGCACATTTTTGTGGCAGGGACATTTGAAAGACTTCAAAGGCAATGCTCTGTGTGAGCTGTTGAGTGTGTGAAGCCTGTCGGATTGTTTGTCATGCATATCTCTGAGTTTAGTTGGTCGCTTTCCATTGTCTTAAAGTGTGACGAGGCACGTGTTCATGTGTGTACCTGCGTATCCATGTGCAGAAATGAGTGCGGCAATGATTCTTCTGTACCCTGCAGGCAATAAATCTGCCTGCCACTCCCTGTGCAAGGGCAGCAGGGCAGGGTTTCTTCACTCTTTCCCTCTCTCTCTCACTCTTTTTCCTCTCCCCCTCGGGGAGGAGCTCTGACCTGTGATTCTCAAGTCCACACAGGTGAGGGTGCTGCTAAAGGAATGTGCAGAGAGCAAGTGAGCAAAGGACAGAAAGAAAGGTGGAGTAACCTTGTTGCCTCACAAAGCCAGCGAAAGAAAGGAAGGGTGTTGCCTGCGACCCACCTGAACAGCTTGAGCAAAAGAGGAGGGACCAGACACACATTCACTCTTAAACACAAGTCGTATCTGGGGGGAATATTCAGTCGATTGTGCACAGCACCAAGTGGGGTAGGAAGGGAACTTTTTCCTGCAAGCACAAGATGTTTCCCTGTTGTTTGGATTTGTGAAGACACAGGTGGAAAACTTATTTTCCCTCTTCGGTTAATCATTGGACACAAGGGAGAGAATAAAGGATTTTCTTTTAGAGAACTTTGGTTGGTGGTTGGACTCTGGGACTTGGATTGGGAAACAACAAACTAAGAGGTTTGTGAGATCAATGATCTTTTTGTAAAGCCTCACAGTCATGCATGTATTTTGTAAGGCTCTTTTTATCTCTCTGCTCTCTGCTTTTTATCTCTCTGCTTTTATCTCTCTGCTTCCCCTTTCCTCTTTATGTGCTTGTCTCTTTTTGTTTGCCTCAGCTGATGTTTGTGGCTGGCGAAATTAATAGAATTTTTTGAATCAGTTTGTTTTAGGTCTTTAAATATTGCCCACTACTGTTCAGCTGTTTCTGTTTTTCATCTTCTAAAATATGTCCACTAAATCTTTATGAAGATATGAGAGATAAAATAAGGTGTTTGGCTGTTGATTGTTTTTCAGTGTCTGAAGCTGCACCATTCATTTTCAGTGTTGTTATGCATTTGTGACCATTCACATTTGTGTCTGGATCATTCTGTATATATTGTGACTATTAGGTTTAATTATGGTATTTTAATGTCATTATTATTCTCAGATTGATTTACATTTAGTTGAATTTGTATTTAGCTTTACTGAGACAGAGAAAATTAGCTCTAAATAAGTTGTTCCTCAAAGTTTCACTGATGCAAAAAGGAATGACCACATTTGCCACAAGAAAATACACAAATTGTGTAATCATTTTGTATTGGTACTTTGTTGTTTTTCTCTCTGTATGACTAAACATGCCCATTTGTGAGGTTACCACAGGCCCGATCAGGTTCACAATAGCATGCTAAGGTCTGTTTAGGTCTCAGGAGCAGTCATATTTATATGGGATTGAGTTTTCTCTCATCCTGGAGTGAAATTCCAGCGATGTTGGTCAAAATATGAACTTGAGCAGTTATATATTAATGTAAAGTTGAAGGATGTGTGAGCATTAGGTTTAGAACAACCTGTTTTTTTCTTGGAGTGTATTGTTTTGTGTATTTTGGGAGTTTTTGATGGATAAAATTAGCAAGGCTTTCAATTTAACATGATAATTTAGTACACTTATTTAAAAAATTTCAAAAAACTTGTATGTAAATTCCGTAGTTAGTGATTTTTGTCCCATTGGATATATTCAAGCATACATATTCAAAAGTACAAGTATCTGATGTACAAACTTGATGGTTTTTCCAAGTCTGCAGTCAGTTCAGCACCAGCTGCTACTATAAGTTATAAGTTTCACCGAACCACATTTAGCGAGAGCAGACAGCATGCAATGTGTATGGATGTGTTCAGGGAATATGTTTTGTGTCCTAGATGGAGCTCAGCAGAATAGAACAAAATGCAGGGCTTCAAAATACAACAAAAAAATGCAGTATGTGTGTTGACGCATATAAGAATGTGTCCTGATTCTAATCCGCAAATATGGGATTAAATTCATCAATTAATATAATGTAATTAATTACAACAAATGAATCAATTGAAAGTTAGATTAAATTATGCACAATAAAATAAAAAATTCTATTAGAAAAAAAAAATAAGACAAAAGTGTAATACACAAAAATATATATAAAAAAATGTTGTTCTCAAACTTTCCACTTTCTTTCTCTTCACCGGAGTCCATGTGCATCTGTAGAGGATATGAGAGGAATTCCTGAGGAATCATTGGTCTGTTTCTCCTCTTCGCTGTCAGAGTTCAGATTTATGGGGGGTGAAATGGGCTCAACTTTCATTTGATGTTTTCAGGGAGAAAGGGAGCGAGTGAAAAGCGAGAGAAAGGTGGATCAGATTTCTCCTTCTGTTTTTTTATTTAAGCGCCGATATAACAGCTGAGGTGCATGCTATTCTACTGTAGATTAGATAAGGACAGTGGTCTCTAAAAGTGTAATGGACAATGAACATACAAATGTATGCTGTACATTTCAAGTAAATGTCCACTGCAGTGTGTCTGGTCATTATGAGGTTTTTGCTGAATGTTTTATGGTGTTTACCAAGGCACATGTCTCGCATGCCTTGAATTACTCAGTTCAGTTATGATCAGTTATGGTGTGTATCTCTGTATCTGTGTGGCATCTGTTCACCATGTTTAACTTTATGTAAAATGTGTGATCTTGCTATTGTTGTATTTATGTTTCAGACTGAAATGGGAGGATGGGCGCTGCGTCTCGCTGTGTGGATCTCCGTTCTCATGCTCGCTGTGACAGCCAGCCGTGCTAATGAGGGTGGGAACATCAACTCTTAAGCCCCTTAAACCTCAAATCTCAATTACAAACACTTTTACTTAGGAAGCAATGCTAAGTCAGTTAAAAACACCAGATTACTTTCTGCTGACTGTAATTATTAATGATAACCAATATAAATGATAACATTTGGGTTGATGTTTTGTTATCTAATACAGTGAAGTACATTTTTAACTGTCCAGATACTTTGTATACTATAATATGTATATATTTATGTACAAAATATATAAATGTCATTGCACTGAATAATGAAACATCAGCCCAAGTGTCATTTATTTTAAATAATGACAGCACTGTTCACCTTCCAAGCAAAAGAAACAGTTTATTAGGATATTTAAATGATAAAACAGTAGATAAAATAACAACAGAAAAATTGGTTTCCCAAATATGTAATGCTAAGAAGACCTTAATTACTGAGTTCAAAACATTTAAAGCCAAATTCAGGGAAGACATAATTATCTTTGATATTTGCTAAATATGCCTTTTTGTGTGTTACATAGTGAACCACTGTACTGCTGCAAGGGCAAAAACCTGCTCAGAATGTATCCAGATCGCCACAGGATGTGCTTACTGCCCCGATGAGGTGAAACTCGCTGGTCCTCATGCTGAAGAATGAATTGATGTTGTATATGTGTTTGACGTGTTTTCATAATTAGTCTATATGACGTATTGATCCAGAGGGTCTGTAGAAAGTATTAATTCATTTACAAATCTAAAGCGAAATGTTAAATGTCCAACATTCATTTAAGCAACAATTTCATTATTCAGTTTCAAGTATGACACACTACAGTCTTATTAAACAGTGATTTGAGCAGTTCTTTTCAAATGAACTTTAATGATATACACTATCATTCCAAAAGTATGGGGTCAGTACTATTTTATACGTTTTTGAAAGCAGTCGCTTTTGTTCACCAAGACTGCATTTATTTGATCAGAAATACAGTCAAAACAGTAATATTGTGAACTATTATTATAGTTTAAAATTGTAAAACCATTATTCCCAGTCTTCAGTGTCACATTAACCTACAGAAGTAATTCGAATGTACTGATTTGTTGCTCACGAAACATTTATTATTATTATTTTGTGTAAACCATGATCATTTTTTTCAGGATTCTTGGATGGATAAAGTTCAAAGGAACAGCATTTATTTGAAATATAATTTTTACATTATACATGTCTTTACTGTCACTCTTGAGCAATTTAATGTGTCACAGCTAAATAAAAGTATTAATTAGAAAAACAAATTTTTGCTGAACTTTCAACCAGTACTGTATTTTATTTTACTGCCCCCACCTTAAATGTCACCTATGGTTTCTGGTTATTTGTATGTTCATATAACCTATTGTAGCTGCATGACCACAGTTGTGTCATTTCTTTCATTTGTATATGTTTTTTTCTCTTCAGATCTTCGAGCATGAGCGTTGTGACCTGAAGGAAAACTTGGAGGCCCGTAAATGTAGTAGTCGGATGGTAACAATTAAGAGCAGCTGGAAAATTGTAGAGGTTTGTTTTTATCATAATCCTGTCCCTCCTTTTAGTTACATTTCCATATCATGGATTCATGTGTGTTTATGCATTAATGTGTCTTTGTGTGTTTTTCAGAATGTGCAAATGAATAAGTCACTAAAGTACTCTCAGGTGGCCCCTCAGCTAATGAGCATGACGCTTCTCCCCGGGGAGGAGAGGGAGGTGGAGATGGAGGTGTTTGAACCAGCCCGTGGCCCTCTGGACCTCTACATCCTCATGGACTTCTCCAACTCTATGTCTGATGATCTGGACAACCTGAAGAGGATGGGAGACCAGCTGGGTGAGCGAGGAGGGCGGTGTATCATAGTGGTTAGATGTGGGCTGGTAACAGTTGTAATTTGGGTTGGGCGATATATTTGTGATGGTTTGCTACTTAAAATTAAACACCACTGTGAATTTCGCAGTGAACTACAGTAGTAAACATGGTGTTAGAGTTGGTGATTTTAGATACGACTCAGTTTAAACTGGCTATTGTGGTGATTTAAAAACTGTTTGTTCTCGTTCTGATTCAACAGTTTGTTCTCGTCACTGTGAAACCCCCCCCCCCACACACACACATATTTATACACACGTGTGTGTGTGTGTGTATATATATGTGACCCTGGACCACAAATAAGAGTCAATTTTTCGAAATTTAGATTTATACAACATCTCAAAGCTGAATAAATAAGCTTTCAATTGATGTACGGTTTGTTAGGATAAGACAATATTTGCCCGAGATACAATTATTTGAAAATCTGGAATCTGAGGGTGCAAACAATTCTAAATATTGAGAAAATCGCCTTTAAAGTTGTCCAAATGAAGTTCTTAGCAATGCAATGCATAAACCAAAAGGCTACAAATTTTTATTATATTGCCCAGCTTAGTTCAAACATTGCAAGGGGTGATGCATCCATCATAATTGACAAGTGTCTGCTAAATGAATAATGAAGATCTTATAATTGTTAGAATTGTTTATCAATTATTGCCACATGATAAGGTCCATTGTAAATTAATGTCTCGACTATCAAGCTATGCTGCACCAAGTGTGTTTACAGGATGTGTTCTAGCTATTTTTTATATTGGCTGTAAATTGGCTACATGTCTCACTGTTTCATCTTGAGCCATGAGTGTTATGAGTGTTGCATTATTTAGATGGTGGGTAAAGTTAGTTCAACTTTTAAATATGTATTTTCAGTCCCTCTCCAAATCTATTGCGCATTGTCTGACTGTTTGAGCGCAATTTTTGAAATTATACCCCTTGGGAAAACTAGTTTTGGGTGCCACACTCATGAATTGTTTGTTTTGCAACATTTTAATATTCATTCATTGTCTGGTTTCACCCCATACAGCTGAGCTTGTTGGCAAACTCTCTGATGATTACACCATTGGATTTGGCAAGTTTGTGGACAAAGTCACCGAGCCTCAGACAGACATGAGACCAGCTAAGTAAGAACAATACACCATTACAGCACCACGCAGTTTGACTTGGTCTGCACATGCCCCTTATATATGTTTTTCCTCTTAAAGATTAAAAGAGCCGTGGGCCAACAGCGACCCTCCGTTTTCATTCCGTAACGTCATTACTCTCACCAACAACATAAACACCTTTAGACAGAAGCTCCAGCAAGAGCGCATATCTGGCAACCTGGATGCCCCCGAGGGGGGTTTTGATGCCATATTACAGGCTGCTGTCTGCCAGGTACTGAGAGTCTATTTTTAAGAAGTTAATTCGGTAGACAGAAGTGAGAAATGCTTGCCATTTACAGTACTGTAAACAGTAACTTACTTCTTATTGGTACAGTATAACTTGTTTCTCATTTTCACAGGAACAAATTGGCTGGAGGAAACACAGCACCCACTTGCTGGTCTTCTCCACTGAATCAGCTTTCCATTATGAGGCAGACGGTGCCAATGTGCTCGCGGGCATCTTGGATCGTAATGATGAGCAATGCCATCTGACTTCAGATGGAAATTACACACATGATATTCGTCAAGACTACCCATCTATACCCACCCTAGTGCGACTTCTGGTGAAACATAACATCATTCCAATCTTCGCCATTACTAACCACTCCTATTCATACTACGAGGTTTGTATGCCTTTAAAAATTTATTTTTGTTGTCTTAATGGCGTAAGTGCATCTTGTCTCCATTGAAAAGTTCTCAGAGACCACAATATGAATAAGCATTATATTGAAAATTGGATATAAACTTCTTGTGACACACGTTATGGTTTCCTTTGTTTGTAGAAACTCAATGAATACTTCCCTATTGCTGAGCTGGGACAGTTACAAGAAGATTCCTCCAACATCTTGAGCATTTTAAAAAATGCTTTTGAAGTAAATTTATTTTCATACCAAATACATTGCTGAGATTTTTTTTTCCAAATTTGATGTAACTCTTTTTTTAACCATCTTTTTTTTAACAGAATATTCGTTCCAAGATCAGTATCCGTGCAGAGGACAGACCAAAGGCGGTGGAAGCCAAGATTCTCTCTCAGTCTGGCACTTTTTCTGAATTTGGCAATTTCAAAATCACACCAGGTGAAATTGTGAGTGCCTTTGACTTCTTTTTAATGCACAACTTCAAATGTAGTCTCTCACGCACTTGCCAGCTTTTCAAAAGGAAGGAAAAGCATAAATTATGTTAAATATTTAAATTATTATGTTATAAATGTATTTATTTATTTATCAAATGCTTTTCTGTTTTTACAAACATATTTTTAAATGATTATTTTTTTATTTAAAATGTATTTACATTTTTTAAATATTGTTTTTCATTATTCTTAGTTTAATTTATTTACATACGTAATGTAATTTATTACATATCCAATTGAACACAAGATGCATGCTGGTTGTTACAATAGCTGCATGTGCTGCAATTTTATAAACACTCTATTTTACTCTTTAAAATGTGAAAACCTTGTCGTAAAAAGACACTGATTCAAGTTTTCTCTCTGTAAAGGGTAAATTTAGAGTCCGTCTGAAGGCTCTTACTCAGGTGGGAGAGCAGCATGTGTGTAATGCCAACCAGGCTGACCGGGCTGGAACCTTAAGAGTCAAACCAACCACATTTAGCTCCGCCTTCAGAATCAACGCCGAAGTGCTCTGTCATACATGTGACTGCGAAAAGGTGAGGTCTGCTACCTCTTTCTAACCCTTCTCCTGTTCTGCATGTTCATTTAAAATCTTACACTCTTGTTTCAACTTTAACATCAGACTCCGGTTAAAAATGCAGCGCGCTGCAACGGCCTAGGAGATCTTGTCTGTGGGAAATGCCAGTGTTCTGATGGATGGTAGTATTGATATTTATGTCTTTTGATATCTTTGATTTGTGCCCATTATATTGCAGTCCATAACCCCCGCTTCTCGCCTGTGCCCTTCCTCTCATAGGCTAGGCCCTTTCTGTAACTGTTCAGCAGGGGACTCCACAGACTCTAACAAGTGCATCGAACCTGAGAAGACCGAGCCTTGCTCGGGCAGAGGAGACTGCATGTGTGGGACCTGTGTGTGCTATAACCCAAACCAGTTTGAAGGGCCCTTCTGCCAGTTTGACAAATCTCAGTGCCAGAGATTTGGTGGATTTCTCTGTAATGGTTAGTGAAAAGATTTTTCGATTTTAATATATCCCAAATTTTATTTCAGAGATGAAAGAAAGACAGGGAATACAGTCATTTGATAAGGTTGTATTAGGAGCAGACATGCTTTGATGTGTTGTCGTAGTTAAGTTTCAGGCTTTGTGAGCTTTCATCTTTGTTTGCAACAACAGAACGTGGACGCTGTAGTATGGGCAGATGTGTTTGTACACCGGAATGGACTGGAGATGCCTGTGAATGTCCCATCAGCAACGAATCATGTCTGGACAGCAAAGGGGTAATGCTCACAAAAATATAAAGTCACTATGCAAGCACACTATTGTTCAAAAATTTAGGGGCAGGAAGATTTTTTTTAGAGAAATTAATACTTATTATTCAGCATCGATGCATTAAATTGATGAAAAGGATGAATAAATTGCTTTTAAAAAATATAATTAAAATAGAAAAATATTTAAATATTATTTAAAATTGTAGTAATGTCATATATCACAATATCATTATATATATATATATATATATATATATATATATATATATATATATATATATATATATATCGAAAAGGTGAGGTCTGCTACCTCTTTCTAACCCTTCTCCTGTTCTGCATGTTCATTTAAAATCTTACACTCTTGTTTCAACTTTAACATCAGACTCCGGTTAAAAATGCAGCGCGCTGCAACGGCCTAGGAGATCTTGTCTGTGGGAAATGCCAGTGTTCTGATGGATGGTAGTATTGATATTTATGTCTTTTGATATCTTTGATTTGTGCCCATTATATTGCAGTCCATAACCCCCGCTTCTCGCCTGTGCCCTTCCTCTCATAGGCTAGGCCCTTTCTGTAACTGTTCAGCAGGGGACTCCACAGACTCTAACAAGTGCATCGAACCTGAGAAGACCGAGCATTGCTAGGGCAGAGGAGACTGCATGTGTGGGACCTGTGTGTGCTATAACCCAAACCAGTTTGAAGGGCCCTTCTGCCAGTTTGACAAATCTCAGTGCCAGAGATTTGGTGGATTTCTCTGTAATGGTTAGTGAAAAGATTTTTCGATTTTAATCGAAATATAATCGGAATATATCCCAAATTTTATTTCAGAGATGAAAGAAAGACAGGGACTACAGTCATTTGATAAGGTTGTATTAGGAGCAGACATGCTTTGATGTGTTGTCGTAGTTAAGTTTCAGGCTTTGTGAGCTTTCATCTTTGTTTGCAACAACAGAACGTGGACGCTGTAGTATGGGCAGATGTGTTTGTACACCGGAATGGACTGGAGATGCCTGTGAATGTCCCATCAGCAACGAATCATGTCTGGACAGCAAAGGGGTAATGCTCACAAAAATATAAAGTCACTATGCAAGCACACTATTGTTCAAAAATTTAGGGGCAGGAAGATTTTTTTTAGAGAAATTAATACTTATTATTCAGCATCGATGCATTAAATTGATGAAAAGGATGAATAAATTGCTTTTAAAAAATATAATTAAAATAGAAAAATATTTAAATATTATTTAAAATTGTAGTAATGTCATATATCACAATATATATATATATATATATATATATATATATATATTCTGTCACAGTTTCGGTTCCTTGCCATTGTTGCCTTGCCTTGGCTTGCTTAGTTGGGGACACATAATTTTCAGTAATATTACTGAATTGACTGAAACGACACTATTGGATGAGAACTGAACTGAGCTGAATGATACTTTACATCTGAATTTAACTCATAATTGAAGATTTTACACAGTAATTGAACTGAACTAAATTAACACTGAACTGTACTCAGCCGAACAATGACACTAATGTTTTTGTTTGTAGTTTGAAGAAATTATAAATATTTGAATAATCTAGAAACCATTAAAAATGCCTTTGTATTAATAATCATTTTGTAGGACTATTTCAGAGGAATATATGTGTATATATATTTCATATCATATCCATATCATAATATACATATATATCATAATATCACAGGTTTACTATTTCATTAGCCTTGGAGAGCATAAGAGACTATTATATATAAATATTTAAGTATAATGACGTTTAACTTTATTAAATTTACCATTGTTCCTGACAACAAAAAATATCTTCAGCATGATACAAGATCATTCCGATGGACTTTATTTTGCAATAATGACCCGCTGACTGCATAAAAATTAAAATTAATGTTTTTTAATTGAATTTGGAGTGATTTTCTCTAAATCATAGCATAGTTGAGCCAAACCTGTCTGTCACAGAACTGATGATAGTCTAAGACAGTGGTTCCCAAACTTTTTCGGCGGGGCTCCCCTTTTGTAGAGAAAAATATTTTCCCCCCTAATACAGTAAACACTGTAATATTGTGAAATGTGTCCATTTAAAATAGCTATTTGAATATTTGAGCATATACTGTATTCCTGTGATCAAAGCTGAATGTTCAGCATCATTACTCCAGTCTTCAGTGTCACATGATCCTTCAGAGATTATTCAAATATGCTGATTTGCTGCTCAGTAACATTTCTGATTATTTTAATGCTGAAAACAATTGTGCTGCTTCATATTTTTGACGAAACAATTTTTTCATGATTATCTTATGAATATACACGCACCCTCTCAGACATGACCTTGATTGCAAAATTATATATATGATTTTAAATATTGTGATTAACATAGTACTACTTAACTAGCCTACTTGCCGTCTTAACTTGTTCGACTTCATTACCCACCTTTGTACTGGTGAATCTGAGCGTGAGAAATGCCTAGTCATATTTTCTTGTCTTTTCACCACACTGGACGAGACAAAGTGAACATTGCAAATCCAATTGTCCTTTGTGTCAGAGTGCTGGAGTTTGTCAGAAATAGGATTTGTCATGGATAAGATCATGGATTTGTTGTGTCGCGTCGCGCCGCATCACTGATAGAACATCACTGGGTTCTATTTGCTTTTGTCACGTCGCTTCGCTCGCGTCTGGTGTAGACACGTTGTTTTGGTATTGGTGAATCTTAAGTATATTCATTATCTGCTTTACGTTTACCTGGCACTGGCAGTATTTTCACAAACTTGTAACTTACATGCTTAGAGCAGAATCATACATCGTTCATTTATATTTCTACATGGCTCCCTGCAACTCTGATTCTTCAATCGCGCCATCTAGTGGTCTGTTATTGATCTTTGTCATAGCTCTATAGTATAGAGTCTATACTATATACTCTATACTTAGACCAGTTTGGGAACCACTGGTCTAAGAGATCCATTTCACTCATAACTCAATTTTGACAAATGTGTCTAGGTAAAACACAGTTCTGTGTATAATAAAATTGTTCTTCTCTTTTGTAGGGCATCTGTAATGGCCGTGGTGTGTGTAAATGTGGTCGTTGTGAGTGTGAACACTCCGGACTTCCACTGAGCCCCACTTGTGAAGCAAACTTCCAGGTACAATTGTGATGGGTGTGTGTGTGTGTGTGTGTGTGTGTGTGTCCGTCTATCTGTATTCCTTTACTTTACATGTTAATTGGTTCTGTCCTGAAACCAACTGTATCTCATAATGCAGCAACAATTGGGTATGTGTGAAGCCAAGAGGAGCTGCGTTCAGTGCCAGGCCTGGAGCACAGGAGAGAGAAAAGGACGGAAATGTGATGAGTGTCCCTTTAAAATCATCAGGGTGGAAGAGCTTGAAGACCGTAGGGCATCAGATCTTAGTTTTATATTAAAAGACATAGCTATACTCATAGATTTGTTTATGGATGAATGAAACTGATGGATTGATTTATTTGTGTCCACAGATAAAAACGTAATAGAGACATGCAGTTTCCGTGACGAAGATGACGACTGCACATATCACTACACTGTGAATTATCCATTAAACATCACAGATAAAGAACACCACGTCCTAGTAAAGAAAAAGAAAGGTGAGATATACACAGATATTAATTGTACTTTTTACATGATAAAAAAAGTTAAATGATTTATACAGCCTTTGGGTGGACCTATAAGTTAATTTAAAAATGAATTCTCATATACATATATATATATATATATTATTTCATATGAAGTAAAAATTGAGCACTGTTTAATTGTCCTATTGTAGTTATGGGTCTACTATTTAGGCTGTATTTCTAGCTCTTGAACAAGAGTGTGGTGAGTAATACATGTCAGTGTTAAACTAACTGATTGTTTCTCTGTGTATCAGACTGTCCACCTGCAGGTTTCCTGTGGTTGATTCCTCTCATTATGTTTCTGATGCTATTGCTTGGTTTGCTTTTGCTCTGCTGCTGGAAATACTGCACCTGCTGCCAGGTAGATATACACATATACACATCTTAATATTGATTTTTATATAATTTGATTTAATTTTACAAATCAGCATGTCCCCACAAGTCCTGAAAAGGAAGTTTAGTCAAATGTTGTAAACTATAACTAAGAAAAGAGAAGAGAAAAAAGGAAAGGGGAAAAAAACACCCAAAGACAATTTAATACACAAACACCTTCCCATAACCAGACGCAACATGAGTTTCCAGTGTCATGTTATTTTAAGTTGTCAGTGAAACTGAAAATACTGCTCACAAAAAGCAAAAATACAGCCAATCAGAACATGTTTGATGTGTATTATACAGCTAAGTGGAGCAGGACTGTCAATTATTGAGATTTTACTGAAGGTGATGATAAATGATTAAAAAAACAATAAGATGTCTTGTTTTTTGTCTTGTTTGCTATATCCACATCAAATATGTTCTAATTGGCTTTGATTCTGTTGCGTTGGACAGCGTTTTTCACTTTCTTGGAAACCACAAGTTACTTGCTGCTTAAAACTTGTGTTCAACTGGTTAGGATGTGGTGTAGTAATGTTAAATCTCAGCTGATTAACATTTGCTGTCTGTCCCCAACAGGCATGTCTTGCTCTTCTCCCATGCTGTGGCAGAGGTAATCATTTTTCTCTCTGCTACACTTCAGTTACATTATACAGAGATCAGTGGGAACAGATTTACTGTATTGTTTTTAATGTGTTTGTGATTGGCAGGTCGTATGGTGGGATTCAAAGAAGACCACTACATGCTACGTCAGTCTTTGTCGACCACTGATCATTTGGACACCCCAATGGTGCGCACCGGCCCACCCAAGAGCACAGACATTGTGCGCTGGAAAGTGACGGACAATGTTCATCGAGGACCAAACCACCCACAGAACCAAATCAAACCCAACCCCAAAGAGACCAGTGAGTCTAGACTTACATTCAGCTAGTTATCTAGTCATCTAGTGTGACCAGAGTCCAATGTTAAAGTAATAGTTTACCCCAAAATCTAAGTTCTTGTCTTCCAAACCTGTGTGACTTTCTTTCTATTTTGGAACACATAAAAAAAGATGTTTTGAAAAATGTTTCTGTACAATGACAGTTAATGGGGTCCAAAACAACAATGGACCCAACTGACTTTCATTGTATGGGCAAATATTTTCAAAATATAATTTTTTCTTTTGTGCTTCACAGATAAAAAAAGAAAGTCATACAGGTTTGGAATGACATGAGTAAATGATGGCAGAATTAAAATTTTTAGGTGAACTATCTCTTTAAAATGTTCATGCTTGTTTAGCTTGTATTTATATTATTTCATCCCTCTGTATTTTTCTTCATAGTCCAGTACCCTATCTCTCTTCGTCTGAACCGGCAATATTCAGAAGTTCTATCCAAAGAGTCTCGGGACACAGACATGCTCAGGCGAGAAGTAGAGGACAACGTAAGTGCCCCCCCCCCCCCCCCCCCCCCCCCCAAAAAAAAAAACAAATAAGTAACAACCAACAAACGCACGCCCACCCA